TCAGATTCTTCAAGATTTCTGCATTAGGGGTTTAGTTGCAAGTAATAGAAACCAATTCTAATTTAAACAGAAAAATGAATTTATTAAGAAGTCTTTTAGGTAGTCAGAGGACTAGAGAATTAAGCTCAGAACTCTGCAGCCAGAAATAGTTCCTAAAATCATGTGCAGAATTGGTCTGCTGAAGAAACTAGCACCACCATCAGGCACGACCACAAGTGTTTCAACTTGTACTGTTACTACTGCTGCCATGGAAACTCCACCTGCTCACAATCAACACTTCCACTAAAGACCCTATTTGTTTGCCAATCACTACACTAGACCACCCTGGCTTCAAGAGATGCTGGAAATTAAGATTCGAGTGTATTTACCTTCTGTAGCGAGGAGTAAGTTATGCCACCCAAGACTTCTGCAGTAGGGGAATTCATCAACTTCAACCCAAATAACAATAAATATTCTTAACATTCATTACAAATTGACCCTCTCCCAAAATAGCTAAGAACCCCTAGTGCAGAATGAGAAGAAAAGACCAAGGTAACTGGAGACCATCATGATATAAAGAACATTCTTAAAGTGTTTAGCACCTGGCAGTGGTAGGTGTTCATAAGATGCTTTTTCCCTAACTGCACCTCAAACTTCTTGCCTGTATTTTAAAGAAGTGTGTATTCATGCAATAAGAAACATCTGTGTTCTTCCCTAAAGAAAAATACTCCTATCTTGTGTTCTTACTGATTTTGGAATTCAGGATCAAAGGGGACATGTAGAAGTTTCGACGATCTTCACTGAAAAACACTCTAGGACACAATTGCTGGTAAAGAAAAGTGCTATTTTTTTATTTGTTCTTGAATGTGTGGGTCCTTTTAAAAATCAGTTACACTTCCCCTTACAATATTCCTTCCCTGTGCCCTAGCACTTCAGATTCAATGACCATGTCTAGAAAATGCCTAGGAGGAACTCATCCTAGATATCCAAGAAGGGTACAGTTTGAGGAATGGGCTTATGGCTCAAGAAGCAGCACCAACTAATGAGGACTTTCCTCAAAGCAGCTTAATTTGGCCTGTGAGTTCTTTTCCCTTCTCTGGTCAGGACTCCTCCAGCTGTATCCCACCCCAGAGTTTTCCTGTCCTGGTGTATCCTAAGGTTCAGACTTACAACCATAGTTATCTTTGGAGCTGGAGAGCCTCTGAGAGATCACTGTTCTCAGCTGCTATCAGCCCAACTTTATAGATGAGGAAACTGTACCCAAGATCATACAGCCCAAAATTGACAAAGCCAAAATTGAGGTATTCAAGCTCTCAAATAAGATATCTATATGTCAATCTATTATATGTTCAAGGAATCAACTTCTGTCTCCAACTCCAGTAAAATCTGAAGCAAGCAGATGGTGATGATCAACACAAGTGAGAAACACCCAGATGAAGGGAGTCATGCTGATCCCAAGTAAGCCCAGGCAAGTGATGAGCCACAGCACTTCCCAGTCTCCCCTCCATCCAAATGTTATCAGCGGCAGACACCCACCCCTCCCAGGACTCTCCACCTGGATACAGCACTGAACCATGCCTGGAAATAGGCTTTACCATGATCCCTACTGACTCTGACAGGTTCCAAGTGGTATGAGATCATGTTTAATCAGACTGCAGTTTGAATGCTGCACCGAAACCCCACACTGGCTAATTAAGCTGGGGCCTCTTAGCAAGCATGTCTAAGATCTGTCCCTGTGATGTACTGGGAGAGGCAGAGGGAAGGACTCACAGGAGCTCATAAACATGCTTGGCATGAGAAGAACTGGATCCAGGAGAAGGAAAGGACACAAAGAAAATGAACACAGAGGGTAGGGATAAGGAGCAGCTGTGATTCTTCCTGCCAACAACTCCCAAGGCATGTCACCCTGTCTAGGTTTCCAGAGGGGCTCTGCTTGTTTGGCTGGGAGGAATGGGGATAATCCAGAGACTTGTGGTATTCTAAAAGCCAAGTGAAGAGAGTCTTTCATGGCTGGAATGGTGGATAGGGTGAAATGCTGTAGAGAGTTCAAGGCAGTTGAGGGCTGAAAATATTTATTTCATTTGGCAACTGCATAGTCACTTGTGACCCTTGTGAAAAACTACAAAGGACTAAAGAATGAGAAGAATCAAGAACAAAGATTCTTTTAAATGAAACTTGGCTGACAAGGAAAAAGTATAAGCAACAACAGACTAAAATTTTTTGTTTTAATCTTAGGTGAACTTTGGTTGGTTGAAGGCTATGTGGAGGTTATCAATGGAAAGGGAAAGTAATGATCCTAGGAAGTGGGAGCAGCAGGATAAGAAGAGAGCAAACTCCCTCCCTTAGGGGGCCTTGGAGGGCATATAGCAGGATTCAAGAAATAGAGAACCTACTAGGACCAAGTGGGAAAGGAGAGGAGAGATATAGACACAGGTCAATGGGAGGAGGAGAGGAGCAGTGGACAAGGAAGTTCTTGCTCTAGGAGCTCTGTTCTGTGAAGTAAACAATGAGGTCAGTCATTTGCTAAGAGCAAAGATGAAGGGCACAGATGGGAAAGAAGAATACAAATTAAAGAATTTCCAATCAATACCGAGGTTGTCAACCATAAACTTGTTATGCTTAGCAGCCAGGAGGAGGGAGCAGAAAATAATGAAGCAAAAAAATGAAGTTGGAGGAGACAGAAAAGTTCAAGATGCTGAAAAGAATCTTGGGTTCAGGCTGGAGAGAGGAAGAAGCCCAGGAGAAGTCTGAAAGTCTGGGAAAAGAGACAGCACTGAGGTCATGGAAATGGACTAAAGGAACAAGGAATTTCCACAGCAGTGAGTGGATCAGAAGGAGAAAAGGAAACACAGGAGGTGGAAATCCAGAAAGAGCAAAGGCTCAGTTCAGAAGTTTAATAGATGACCCCATAGAGTGAGAGAAGGAATGGAGTACAGCCCAGGAATGAATAAAGAGAGGCTTAGGTCTTAAAAATTAGGCAAAGACCTATCACCAAAAATGGGCACAGGAAGCTATTGTTCACTAGGTTGATGTCAGGCCCCTCATCAAGGGGGTACCTTAGGCAGGCAGGGTCCCTCAGGTACCACCTTGCTAGAATTCCGGAAGGGTCAATCTACCCATGTTCAGTGGAAGAATGCTTTTCAAGTTCATCCTGCACCAGTTTTTGCACTGAAATTCCCTTTGTATCAACTGATGCCACTCTACTGTCCCATTTCTCAGCACAGCCACGAACCAATTCCTCTTCAAAGGCTGTATGCTATACAAAACTCACTATATTTCCATTGCATGATTTTGACAAGGGCCAATGAACTTGACTGACTTCAAAATGGGACCACATAGGAACAAATCAATGCAGGATTGGTGTAAATGTTAACAAAGAGCCAAAAATCAAGGCAGTTACTTGACAAGCAGGTCTTTTGTGTGTTTTGTCTCTTAAATTTCTAAACTCTCATGTTCTGTTTTCTGCATGCAAAAACAAAATAAAACCACTAAAAATATTCATTCTAAGTATTAGGGAAAGGACAATGCCATGGGATAACCAGTGTACTGACTGTGCTATGAGCCAGGGCCTCCCACCCTTGGAAGAAAAGACACCCTACTTCCCACCCCTCCCTGCTCATGTGCCTACAGAGAGCCTCTCAGCATGCAGGGTCTCTACAATGGGAACGGAATACAGGACTCTCTACCACATTACTAAGATCTTTTGGTCCAGCAGCTAATCCTTAACCCCAGCAAGCCACACCATGCTGAGAGATTTACTGATGATAGAAGGGGACCCAAGCTTTTAACTAGGAGTTTCTGGTCAAAATGTGGTCTACAGTTGGACCTGGGGAAGGAGCTCAATCATGTGTGAGCCTGTCACAGCCCTCACTGGCCAATGCCAACACCATAAAGCTTACTCAGTGGTAGAGGAATATGGGCCACACAAAGGAAAAATGGTTAAGAGCATGAATTACAGGGCAAGTTTAGAAGGAACCTTACCAAACCAGTTAAAGAAAAAGATTCAAAATGTGAGAGGGAAATGGCCAAAGCCCAAACCAGAGTCAGTTGAGCCCCCAAAGAGCTAATATTACCTGACTTGTCATATGACCTGACAAGTAGTGCAGGATTATAGAAACCCATCTACTGAGGAGAGCTTGGCCTATGTTGCTGAAAGAATGGCAAGTCAATGGGCAAGGTCTGCTGTGAAATGAAGATCTCTTCATGTGGGTGGAGAATGAAATGAGTATAATCATCAATTCATAAGGAGAGAAGAAATGTTTTCTGATAAAAAGAAAATTATTCACTAGCAAAGGGGCCTACAAACAAGAACCTCCTTGAATTGTATCTTGTAGGAAAAACAAAGCTATGACCTGAGACTCCCCTAAAATTAACCATGCCATGTCAGAGCCAGGGACAGGTGCCTCAAGACCAAGCCATTGAAATGCCAGGTTCATTTCTCCCCCAACATATTACCAATAAATCTCTAACTCAAGCAAGCCCTTTCTTGGGAGGAATCCTGACCCCAGTATCTGCCTATGCTACTTCCTCACAAACACCCTTCATAGACTGTGAAGATCTGTTGATATGCAGCCTGGAGCTTTCAGAATGCTCCTTCCTATATTCTAAAAGAACTAAAATCCTAAAGTTAGTTCAGGGTCACCAAAGGACATGGACTTCTCACTTCTTGGTTTCCCCCTTGATAGAACATCCCCTAGGAATTCCTAGGTCTGGCTCCTTCCAGTCACTGTGGCCTTCTCCAACCTCCCAAAAAGGGGATGGGGGCGGTCAATAGAATGTTGACTCTTTTTGAGCTGTGGACATCCTGGAGGCAGGCAAGTCAGAGGACTCATTTCTGATCTTTGGCTATGTGAATGTGAAGAGGTAAAGAACTAGAACCTCTAAGCAAAGTCCCAGCAGAATGAGTTGGTTGTGGGTTATTCTCCTTGCCCAGGGAACCCTGTCCCTGAAGCAGACAACAGCTGCTTCGCAGTTCCCCCAAGTACAACTCAGGATCCAAACATCTGAAGATGATGAAGGGGTAGCAACTGACAAGCATGGCAGTCACTTCTAGGAAGGCAGGTTTGGACACCAAAGAAGAACTATGAACCCAAAGTAAGTAGCACAGAGGGCAAGACATCTTCTTGATGCAAGTGAAATCTGAGCAAGAAGATGTAGGTGGTCTCTGTGTAGCCACCCCATTCAGACAAGAATGCCTTACCATACAGAGCACTTCTATAGTGGCTACCTAAGTCAGCCTCCAGAAAGTGGGTTTGAAAAACAAATACCCTGAAAACCGTTAGAACCTGAATAGGCACCAATTGAGATGTATAGCCTCTAGAAGTCTCCATTATTTCACCAGTGGCAGGTGCCTCTGTCACACAGCAAAGGCAAACAGCGACAGTCTTTGGCTGTGCTGGGCCAGGGATCATAGGCCTACCATATGTCCAAGCCTTACTTACTTCTTTTACCCACTTCTGAGCCAGGAGGAGTTTAGACAAATACACTGCTCCCAAGACCTGGCACTGAGAGGTGAGAAAGGTCTGCTTTCCTCAGCAGAGAGAACTCACCAAGGAAATCGGGTGCTCCCAAGCTTAACCAGGCATGGTCTTGTCAAGTGGACCCTACACATCTGATTACTCTGGCAATTAAGAACACTCCCTCTCTTTCCTATTTATTACTGAAATCTTTTCTGTAGTGGATGCACTATGGCTCCCAAATAAATGCTGCAGATGCAAATGGTGAAGAAGAGCACTACACAGCTCAACAAGACTCATCTCACATCCACATTCTGAAGAGTATAAGCTGAAGGATGGGGAGGAATGGTCAACAGGATGGGACACCAGCAGCCAGAGTGATCAGTCTTCTTTCAGCTCTCACACCTGCGAGATGCTATTGGCCATGCGAAATGACATTCTCTTTGCTTTTTCATTTTCCTAAGAGAAAAAATACATATATTCAGAATTAGAATAGTCAAATGTAGGATTAATTAACATGAAAAGGTTAAGGGTCAAGATTGAGACCCTCCAGAGTCAGTGTTTTATTCTACCCCAGGAATGCCACAGTAAAACTCACTGAGGTCTCTAAGTATCAGAATAACTAAGGACAGCTAGCCAGACCTTGGCACACAGTAGGGTGGCAATACATTTCAGTGGAACTTAACAGCATCAAATTGATGTTTCAGATCTATGTAGGTTGGACTAACCAAAAGGTCACAGAAATTCTTCTGATGCAAGCAATATCTCTTCTTCTTTCCCTGTACCAGGGAACTGAAAAAGATCCCTTCTTTTCTCCCTCAAACCCAAGTGGAAATCAGGCCCTGAAACCAGGTACCTCTCTTCTTATGAGGATCCAAGCACAGTGTAGTATAATCAGTGCTTAACTAAAGTCAGAAATCCCTGTTCCTTACCCAGTTCTGCTGCTAATTTGCTGGGAGACCTGGGCAGATATATGCACCTCTGAATTTTAAGCTTCAATGCTAACTGGAGTTGGTGATTCCTGCACTGCTTTGCCTTCCTTTTATTTAGGCTAAGAGGTTGAAAGTGAGAGTTCATTGTTACCACTAGCTACTTGAACAGTTTCGCTTCAGGCTGCTTAGGTAACCCCTGCCTGCTTCATCCCCCACCCACCCTGCCTGCCAGTTGGCAGCAACTCTTTACCATATGTCGCCGCCGCCTCTTGGGTTGGATGCCTTCCTGCATGTAGGGGGGCCACGGGAAGCCATGGGGGGTGGAACATCCACTCTCACTAGACACCTCCTCAGAGTCTGAGTCTTCCTGCCGTGGCTGGGCAAACCGTTTCTCTGGGTAGATTTCCTTCAACCAGCCCTCAAAGAATACTTCCAGGCAGCGGCCGGCCTCTGCAACCTCTGAGTCAGGCTAATGGGAAGGAAAGAAGTGGTGGTATGGTGTGTTTCTACTGGCTTATCTCTTCCAGACCCCTCCCATGGTAGCTATACAGACACCACAAAGCCTGGCTGGCCCATCCTGGGCTCTTATCCTGAGATGTCTGGAACTTGGCATAATCTGTTTAGTAGCAACAGACTGACAGAAGTGACCTTGATAGGTATCAACAGTTTGCCAGTCACTAGCACATCCCCATCTTCCTCCTGAGTCATGATAAGGTCCACATGTGGAAGAGAGCTTTTAAACACTCACCACAGTAGGCTCCAGGACTCTGCTCTCAAGTCCTCTTGGCAGTTAGGACTAAAATGTTCCCCCTTATCAACCCTCCCTCCAGCCACAATAGTCTTAGGGTCCCTGGGAAATATGAGAGGGGAAAAACAGCAAAGGCATACATAATTGAACTTAGCACAGTTCCAGAACATGAGGCGCACATCTGATACCACTTCCTCTGGAGTGGTATAGTGAGCTGGGTCCTTCTTTTGCAGCTTCCTCCTGATGATTGACAGGTCCATAGGCCTCTTGATAATCTGATAATAATGTCGGGCCTTGTGGAAGGAGAGGGGGAAGAAGGAGGTAAAAGAGGAAGAGAAAAGACATACAGGTATAGAAGAGAAGAAGAGAGAAGAGATGGAAAATGAGTTGGAATATAAGTGAAAGAATAGAAGAAAGACAAAGATTAGGAGCAAAAGAAATAAAAATATGGAAAAAGAAGACAACAAAAAAAAGAAAAGAAGAAGTGTATCACTTGTTAAGTCAGGTCTGATGCAGTAGCAGTCGTGATAGGTGAGGGGGACAAGCTGGAATGGCCACGGCCCCTGGGTTCCACAAATTAATACCATAAATACTTTCAGTGGCCATTTCCTGGACCCACCCTGGGTAATACCATGATCATGCTCCATAGCCTAGGTCCTCTGAGCAGAAAGGACAGTAGCAGGCAGAAACAGTGAGGCTTTCCTTACCAAGGGGCTGACAGGTTCATGGAAGGGCAAGCTGAGGCTATTGCAGCACAAGGACAGTATCAGCTTTTCACACTTCTGCAGAAATCAGAACAAATAACAGTATCACTTTATTCTGATCCTAGCTCAATAAGAACTAAAGATGGTGATCTTGAGTAACATTCTAGCTCCATCCCTCAGGCTGCCACCAAACTAAGGCAGTTCAGGCTCCCAGGCCATAAGAAAACCACCAGGAGAAGAAAAATCACATGAACTCCATGGACTAAGTAGTCAGGCATAACCCATGTTATACTTTGAATCTTAAATTATCTCCAGAAAGCTCATGTGTTAAAGGTGTCCGATGCAGCAGTGTTCAGAGGTGGAGCCTTTGAGAAGTGATTGGATTATGAGGGCTCTGATCTCATGAATAGATTAATACATTTATGGATTCATAACTTAGTAAGCTATTGAGAGGTGATGGAACCTTTAAGAGGTGGGGTCTAGTTGGAGGAAGGAGATCACTGGGGGCATGCTCTTGAAGGGTATATTTTGTCCCTGACACCACCTTCTCTCTCTGCTTCCTGGTCACAATGAGGTGAGAAGCTTTTTTCTACCATATGCTCCCAGCCATGATGTTCTGCCTTACCACAAGGCACAGAAAAAAATGGAGCCAAGTGACCACGGAATGAAACTTCTAACCATGAGCCAACCCCCACCTACCTACACACACACACACACACACACACACACACACCACACACACACAAATCTTTCCTCCTTTAAGTTGGTTTTTTCAGGGATTTTAATGGAAAACTGACTAACACAGCCTAAAAAAAAGGTATCCAGAAAGGCCTCTCATCCCCTCTGAAAGACCTCAGCCCCTGTGGGTATAGGGGGCTGCTCCAGACAAAAAACCTTGCTCCCAAGGACCCCTCCCTACCTTCTGGTCATATATGCTCAGGCCGGGAGGTGCCCGCGCTCCAGGCTGATTGTAGCGGGCATTCTCACAGTCATACTCCATCTCAGGCTGAGTCAGGCTGCGGCACAAGGTACACACCCAATCTCCCCTGCGTGGGCAGGTGAGGCTGGGTTAGGACTCAGAACATTGCCCAGAGCACCCTTCCCTGTCCCTCTGTCCCAAAACAGACATGAGCCTGCCCTGAATAGAATGCTTCCTAGGTCACAAATGTGAAAGAAATCCAGTAACTCAGGATGTAGTGAACCCAGAAAAACGGGAGTTAGTTGGCAGGAGTATAGGCACAAGTCTGTGTGCATGAAGAACCCAACCAAATTTCTAACATCAACCTGTTCTGTGTGCAGAAGGCACGCTACTGTAGGGCCCAAAACTCACAAAGCTGCACTGTATGCAGGCCCAGAAGGAAGGAAGGAAACTTATTTTAGGGAGCTCTATAGTCCTGGCCTGGAATAATAATATAACTGGAAGATAACCCTCCTAGCCAAGTGATGGCCCTGGATTAGCATGACTCACCCTGGGAAACTGAGCAAGGCTGGCACATGGCAGGAAAGGTGGTACACTTTGGGGCAGCGGTCACAGCACAGTAGTTCTCCCCCATTAAGACACACAGCACAGAAGTCCTCATTCTCAATTGGGGCTGGGGGACCCTTCTTGACTCCAGGAGTTCGAGCAATGAGTCGATGTTCTTCAGGAGATGTGCCTTCCATGTCTGGTGGCCGCTGCCCAGCCAGAGAGGTGACAGTGACCTTTCTTCCCCCCAAACCTGGGGCCTGAATGGCATCAGAAAGGTTGTCCTGGCTGACCTTGGGAAAGAAGTGAGTCTGAGCAATCAGAGTACAGTACTAACAAGTTGTTGAGGGATAGAGGCTAGAACAGTCAGGCCTTGAATACTTACTATGAGAAACTTTTACTCCGGGACCATAAACCAGCCAAGTCCTATGAATGTGGGGACATTTCACTCCTGCTGTGTATCTCACAGGCCCCATACAGCAGAGGACAAAGTCTAACCAAGTTACAGCCCTACTCAGACACTCACTAAAGGCCCTAAAGCCAACGTTCTGGCAGTAGCAGAGAGAAAGGAGAGGCTAGGCTAGGCCAAGTTTCAAGACCGAGGTAGAGCAAAGTAGTACCTTAATGGACATGCTGGAGGACTCAGTGCCACACTCGATGACCAGCAGGAAGCTTCCATCCTGATCATTCTTTGGAGGCTTCAGCTTGAATACAGGCATCTCTCCTGAAGAGGCAGCACATATCTTGAGTCGCTCCAGTCGCACATAGGGAATCTTGGGCTCACTACTGAAGGCCCTGTGGTAAGAGAAAAACCCTGGGTCTCAGCAGGAGCTTCCTCTGGCTCCAACCTCTACACCAGACTTATCCGTGATTCCCACAACTGAGTAACTACTCAAGATCTCCCCAGTTCAATCCTCTACAGGTCTACATTCTTCCCTGCTGCTCAGCTCTGCCTGGCCAGGCCCTCTGGTCAGACACTGGAAAGCCCTTTATACTGTCCCTGACCAAATAAAGGGGCTCCCTGAAGAACAAGGACTACATACAGAGCTCATGTCTCACAATGCAGGATCTAGAACATCCTCCCATAACTGCCTCAAGACATGCAACCACACAGGCCACACTTGAGGGTCTGGGGATTGAAGACAGGTACAGGCAAATTTCTGTTTCTAGTTAAGTCATCAGAATGCTTACTTCTTGTGCCAACTTTACAGTACATGAAGTTGAGGGTAGGAAGAGAAGGTTGGCAAAAGGTCTGTTACCTGATGCTCTGGTTCTCTTTTGTGTCCAGTTCTATGGCTCCTTGTTCAAAATTCTCATAGTCTACAGCAAAAGACAAACAAATACCTGTGACATACATTTGTAACAACACATCCTGTCACTCACATCTTCTACTCATTTCTGCCACTCATAACTTTGGCCACACATCTGTCACACAATTGTTATCTATATGTGACCATTCATAGTGATAATAATCCTGTCATAAGTCTCCTTCCTGATGTACAAGAAAGGCAGCCTTTTTTTTAAAAGATGAGCATAGATAAAACTCAGAGGCTGCCCACAGGTATGTGTTGGGTAAAGCACTTAGGGGCCAGTTTCTCACATTCAAAATGAACTCAGAAATTATTTTTTTCCAGTATGCTGATGTCACTTGTTCTGAGGAGTCATTCTGTGCATCTCTGCCTTTTCAGGCCCAAGTGCTGAGATTCTAGCACCACCTGAGAATCCAGCTCATACTCTGTGGGCCAGAGCTCTGGAGAGCCCTCCCCCGCATAGTATAGTCTGCATAGATAGACAGGGGACAGTGGTGGGGCAAAAGGAGGGAACTAGCATTTATTGAGCACACACTCAGCACCAGGCACTGTGCTTGGCACTTTACGTGGGCAAGCAAGATCCAAAAAATTTAGTTTAGCTGCATGAAATTCAGGGTTACATTATTGTATATAATAATAACCAATAATTTTTAGTTGGTCTTTCAGTCAGTGTGAGGAAAAAAGAAGAAAAATTTGTTTCTTTTGTTTATTAAATGTATACAAAATAGACTGCTCCTTACACATTAAGCAAACTTTATACATGAAACAGAAAAAGTCACAAATGATCAGTAGGTATTTGACTCCTAACTGGCTGACTAGCCCTCACCATTCACGGAAGAAACAAACCTCAGTTCAGCCCAGTTTGAGAAGGGACATGAGGAGCTGAGGAGAAAATCAGAACCAATCTCCAGTGGCCCAAGTGCCTTTTTCTATCTGGGTACAAGGAAAATTCTTGCTACTACAGAGTAAGATGTCAAGTGATTTCACTATAATTATTTTGCCCAGTAGCTTATAAGGTAGGTATAACCAGTCCCATTTCCAGAGGAAGAAACCAGCTCCAAAATTAGGTTTGACCTTACCCAGGGTCAAATAGAAAAGGGAAAGAGCTGGTGTTCTAACTAAATCTGACTCCAAAATTAGACATGCTTTTTTACCTGTAATATTTTGCCAAGGCTAGCCCTCTTCTCATGAGTTCTTCCTATCTCCTTCTACATGCAACCCAGACCCCCAAGACTTTTTCCATGTAGAATGTTATAAAGAGGCTATGTGAGTTAGTTCTGGCCATGGTGAGGGAGGCAAAACAGTAGAAGTCACTTGTGGAGGAGAAAAGTGAAGTTATCCTCAGAGAGAAACAGTGCTCCCAGGTTTAGAGCTTATCTGCCAGCCTTTATCTCATCTGGAAGTGCTGAGTCCCTCTGCTCCAGGCCTTGGCTAACTTGGAAGGCAGGCTCACCTTTTGGGCTCTGGTACTGCTGCAGAGCTGTAGAAGTGTTGACTAGGGGTACCAGTGGAAGTTTTTTCACAGAGAGGTTAATTGGCTCCTCAAGTTCTGAGGGGATGACCAAATCCTTGGAAGCACCCAGACCAGGGGCTTTGGGGCCTTGCCCCACTGAATCAGTAAAACGAGTGGCATCCTCACTTTCCATCTTTCAAAAGAGAAAAGTCAACAAGAATCAAAGAAATCAGACACTGTGGGCATCAGTGGTCTCAGAGTTGTTAAGCTAAAGCAAGGATAAGGCAGTCAGTGGTCAACCTTTTGCCCAGCGATGAGCATAGGCAGTTGAATGGCATTTCCTCAAAACTTACCTTACATAGGGCATTGCCCAGGGAAGGGTCGGCCCCATCCCTGGGGCACAGGTTTTCTGCAGTTCGGCCAGAGCCAGGACTAGAAGTGGATCTAATTTCCAGCTGCATGTCAGAAACTGGAGGCATGCTCTGCAGAGGACAAGTGGCCAGACTTGGCACAGCCTGAGTGTGACCAGGAATTAGGCTGGACCTGGACTGAGAGTGATCATTTGCTGGGCTTGTGATGGCCTGGGGGGAATCATTCATCAGGTTGGGCATGGACTGGAATGTGCCACGCACAAGGCCTGGCATGGCCTGTGGGTGAGTGGTTGTCAAGCTTGGCATGGCATGGTTTTGAACACTTGTCAAGCTGGACACAGTTTGTGGAGAGCCACTCAGTAGGCTCGGTACTGTCTGTGGGGGACCAGCTGTCAAGCTGCTCACATTGTGGACCTGTGGCTCTAGGGTCCTCGCCAGCCTAGTAGATGACAACTCCATCTCCAGAGTGTTGGAAAAGCCCATGATGCTCACCGAGGTGGATTGCTGCAGGAGTAAAGGGTAGAATCAAGCTGTTAAGCTGGCAATGCATGAGACCCAGCCCACAAGAACTCCCATGTTCAGATTCCATGCTAGTGTCTGAATCTAGGTGCTTCTGGGAACTCAGGCAGCACATGAGATTCCAATTCCTAACATCAAGGAGGCTTCTAGGTTCAGACAGAGAGAGAGGCATAGGCTGAGGTGATTATAATCATTAGGTGAGGGGGAAATGTTCCAACTCCAAAAATCTTTTCTCACATCTAACTACTCGATGACTTGAGGGGAAGAGACTTAAAAGGTTAATGAAAAGAAGGTGAAGACATGCACTGAATTTACCCAGTTTTTCAGATTGGAGAGACAGATTTGATGGAGGTGAGAGAGCAGACTAACTCTAAATGTAATCTTCACAAATTTATAAGTTGGATAACCCAGTCCTCTTTAAAAAAAAAAAAAGATTCAAATTCAATTTGCCTACTTTTGAAAATCAAAGGGAAAACAGGAATAAGCATCTCTAAGCTTCCAAAAATCAGTGTCTCAAATCTGTCATTCCTTCCATTGTGAGATATTCAAATTTCCTCAGGAAAGCAAACATTTTAAATATATTCTCAAGTTTCAATATGAAGCTAATAAAACTATTTCATACTGAAGACTGTTCTCATTTCAGTGAATGTCACTCCTGGTCACCCAGCTCTGCAAAATCCTAGGAGGGAGGCATCAGGAGGGCAGCTCTGCTTCTTCACCCAAGCTAACTCCAGGCCCCATCAATTCTGCTTTAAACATCTCTCAGATATACACACTAATTCCTCTCTCTACTGAAGGTGCCTTAGTCTAACCTACTTTCCTATCTCCCTAGACAGCAGGAGTGGCCTCCTCAGTGGAGAAATACTTTGAAATACATATCTGATCACATCGTTCCTTTTCATAAAACCCTGCAGTGCGTTCCATTCTTTTTCTAATGAATGTGAAAATGCTGAACAGGCTCCCAAGCCCTAACGACCTGTGTCGCTTGTCCTCCTTGGTAACCACAGCTCATAGGACAGCCTCTTCCTATTCTCTGAGCTCCATTCCCTCAGACATTGTCTTTCATTTCTGAAATATGTCAGGCTCCCCCTCTCCCCACAGTCCTCCAGACTGCCTCCTCTGCGTCGAACATTCTCCTACCCCTGCCCCCGTTCCATTTATCCTTCAGAACTCAGCTTAACTGCCAGTTTTATAACAAAGCCTCTTTCATTCTCTAGTCCAGACCAGATCCCCCCACCTTTTATGATCTCCTAATGCCTTGTCCTTGTACTTTTAGTCTCACAGCCCAATCTGTGATAACATTTGATTAATTTCTGTTTCTCCTATGAAAGTGTAAACTCCATCAGGGCATGGATTTTGTCTACTCTGTTTACCTTCTGTATTCCTAGACTCAACAGTGCCTGGATGAATAAATGGATTAATGAGCTACTTAAATTTTCAAAACAACAATACTATGTGATTGTCTTATAAATCTTAAATCAAATGAACAGTGGCTTAGTTCTACTAACAACTGAATCTATGAGTCTCCCTAAAATAATGCTTATTTTTATATAGCTAAAATTTATTGAGAATTTATTATATGCAAGGCAATTTGCCAAGTGTTTTACATATATTGCCTCATTTAATCCCCACACTAACCATTAAAGTGTTGTGGAGAGATTAAAAAAAGTAATCTATGTAAACATTTAAAACAAGGTCTGGTATGCTGTATGTAGGTACTCAATAAACTCCAGGTGCTGCTATTATTGTTAGTTATTACTGTTGCTGAGGCTATAATTTTGCACCCAAGAACAATAAGACTCAGAAAGGCATCATAAAGATTTTTTAATGTTTTCTTGAAACATAATTTTATAAATTTCCATTTCTCTTTATTTGTGATTGAATGTAGAAATACAATTGATTTTTGCATATTGATCTTGCAGGTCTCTTGCAGAGACTTTGCTAAAAAGTCACTTTGGAATTTTCTTTGGATTTTCTGTGCACACAAATTAGGTAATCTATGAATAGTGAGTTTTCTCTGACCTTACCCCACTAGCTAACACTTCCAGCATGAGACTGAATAGAAGTAGTGATTGTAGCCACCTTTGTCACATTCCTGATCCCAGAGAATCTTTTCAATATTTCACTACTCCTTATATTTGAAGTAGGGTTTTTTGTAGATTTAGAATCCAGACCCCAAATGACCCAAGCATTGTATGCACATTTGAATAAACGGAAAAAAAAGAGAATCCAGACCCCTGGTACCAAAGCCAGGTTCTTAACTTTTGCCTATCTGCCTCTGCTTCTCTCTGTGCAGACTCCTCTTCCCCTTCTGTCCCATCTTCCTCCTTCCCTCATCTTCTTTTTCCTCTCCCTTCATGACCTTCTCTTTCTTCTGTTTTTCTCTCTTGTTATCATCCCTTTCTCTTCTCTCCCTTACCTCTTTCCTGTATTGTTTAACAGCTTTTAAAGCTTATGTTTTCTGTTATTGTCTCAATTTTCAAAACAGATTAGTTAAAAACCAGACATGGTGGTTCATGCCTGAAATCCCAACGGGAGGTGGAGAAGAAGGATCATGGTTCAAGACCAGCCCGGGCAAAGGTAGTACAATACCCTACGGAAAACAAACTAAAAACAAAAGAACTGGGGACATGGTTGAAGTGGTAGAGTGCTTGCAGTGTGAGGCCCTGAGTTCAACAACTAGTACCACAAAAAAAAAGAAAGAGAAAAAGTAAATGAGTTAAATGCTTTTTGTTTTATCTTTCCAAAGAAAAGTTTTTGTATTTTCCTTGGTAATCAATAGTCCTGAATTAAAAAGTTCCAATTTTAAAGTACACCCACAGTGGAGATACATAGAGAAACCCCTTCAAACATCAACTTAAATATTAATAATGAAAGAAAGGACTGTAAAATAGGTATAGTGTGTGTTGCAGGGGTAACTAATGGGAGAGGGAAGGGTGAATGAAGGAGATTAGGTGCGGGTATATGGTTGATGGACTTCATATACTTATATGAACAAAGAAATATCTTGCAATTGCTTCAAGTGGGGCAGAAAGGCAGTTGAGGGGGAGAGGGGATGAGGATGTACAATATAAGCCTAATTGGAACTGTCACTATGAATCCCCCCCATAACAAATATATCCTAATAAAAAAATTTTATAGAAAAAACAGTTCCAATTTTCTTTACAAGTCCCAAGAAAAGACTAAAGAGAAGGAGTGAGAGGAATAATTGAACCAAATTAAACTAGGCATGGAGCCCAGACTAAGAGACAAAGGTCAAAAATTAGTGCTTTTCTCAAACATGTCCCTTGGTACCCCCTAGTTATATACTACCATAGCTTTCTAATATTCTGTATTTCCTTTCTATGTATAAGAATATCTAGTGATTGCTACACTCCCTTTTGTAACATATGACAGTATAATCCTTGAACTGGATTCTCTCACCTTTTCCCCACTTGATATGTATATTTAATACTGTTCTGGTGTTCATTTCACCTACCCATGGTGGACATTGAGAACTACATAGATGGTGCTCAGTGAGATCCTTGCTGCTAAGCACCATGGGCATCACAACCCATCTATACTATCTGTTTGTCACAAGTTATACACAAGATAAAATCTCCAAAGACAAAATTTGACACATTAGGGGTAGAGATCACATTTGTAGGATATCAGCTCCCCTGCCTTAATTACTTATTGTATGCCTTATAAGGGAGAGGAGGATACACAGCCATAGAAGAATCATGAAAGCTCTGTAACAGCTTATTTGGAGGTGAGCATGCTGGGTCTGCTCTCGTAACACCCAGACAAAAGTGTGATATCAGCAGTATGTCCTAAAAGACTGTAAACTAGACTGATTTCTTTCATCTCCACATCTCAAAGAGGCCAATTCTATTAGAAGGTGGGATGAAACTCTGCTAATGGTAACAAAAACCTGGGAAACTTCTATGGGAGAAGGAATTCAGTGAAAGGTATATTAAGAAGCCAGTCCCACCCCATTTCTATACCAACACAATGGCATTTCTGGAACTTGTATTTGCTGTATTGTCAGTTATGTTTGATACTTCATCTGGCTCTCTGGAGTAAAGAGTTAAAAAATATGAAAAGATACTTATTTCATGTATAGGAAGGAGAGAGTTGAGAGTCTCCATGTACTCTGCTGCCACTGCTACAAGATGAGTGGAGGCAAAGGTAGGACTAAGTTTCAGGGAAAGTAAAGGACTGATTCTCTAGACCAGGGAGGAAGGAAAGGACTTTTCAAGCATGCTAGGATTGGAGAAGGGTTTGGAATGAGGCCACAGTTTTTTGCTGTCCCATATACAGAAGAAGCCCATCCGCCAGTGGAGATGTAATGCCTGCTATCTCTAGCACTCAAGATTGTTAGAGGTCAAATGAAAGAAGTGGAAGTGCATTTCCTG